ATGGGCAAGTCGGCGAATCGAAATGCCTGTTTTCTCGTTTTTCGTGCACTACCGGCCACAGCCGTGCCTCAGGCATCCAAGTCGGGCAACATGTGGGCGGCACGGGACCGGAGGCTTGGCCCTAGGCCGAAGAAAGGGTATGCGAGGGTGCTCGCGAGCACCAAAGCCACTTGCGGCATTCGCCAGCAATCCCTGCTGCACACAAGAAGCGAGCGGTCCGGACGTCTGGCGGCCACTGAAGGCAATCGCACGGTGGGGGAGGCGGTCCGCGTGTTACGTACGTCTTTGAAAAGTGACACCGTCGCTAGTTTACCGGTCGCCGAGTGAATTCGGACCCGCTCGTGGCGTGGCCCCGCGCCTCCGCTCGCCGGTGGCCCGAGCTGCAAAGCGGGACAAAAGCGGTGTCTCCGTCCGCGAGACCCGTCCTGAGGGCAGGAAGAGGAGGGACGCTGGTGAGCAAGCTGAGTGCCTGTGACTACCGGGATTCTCTCATGCCTATTGATGCGGGGTATCGCGAAAGATGAGGGCGAGGTGGAAAATGTTCACTGTACCCCATTTGCGTACCTCCGCACAGAGACGCAAAACAGCGCCGAGCACGAGCCTCGCGTCACTGCGGAGGCGCCGCCGCACTTGTTCGGCCTTGACGGCCATGCCGCCTGCGTTTGGCGCGGGGATCAGCCGTGCAGTGGAGCGGCCGTTGTGTAGGGCGGGTTGAGCTGTGGGAGTGGGGAGCAGCATCTGCCATTAGTTATGGGGCAGCGGTTACCGGGTTGAAGGCAAAGGAGAGAGAGAGCGGGAGCGAGTCTGCGAGCATGACGGCTGCATCGGTGCGGAACACCACCGTCTGCCCCGTGCGGTTGAAATTTGAGCTGATTGAACGGCCACATGGCACCCGGCGGCCGCCGCGCAGCCGGCCGGTATCTCTGGGCGCGCTCAGGTCGGTGTGAGCACCGCCGGTCACGAGCTGCCACCGGTTCTGGAGGCTGTCGTCGAAGATGACCAGCAGCGGCAGCACCGCCGCTGCGGATGTCGTGGCACCGGCCGCGAGCCCCGTCGCCACGAGCATTGGTGGCAAAGGTCGATGGAGGCGTCAACCCCCGGCCCGGGGGGGGCCGTGCGGCGGGCACTTTCCTGAAGAAATAAACGGGGGCCACCCTGTCCAGAGGCGGAGGTGCCTTTCTGGGATCTTGCTAAATGGGACGTCAATTTCTTTTTTAGTAAAAAAGAATTCTTGCAGGCGAAGCCTCTCAAAGCGCGCATCGGCACCCGCCGTTGATAGACCTCGCGCTCATGCCTGCCTGGGCCCTCCGCCTATGGCCTCTCGCCGGCGGCAAGCGCGGCTCGTGCCGGACCCCGGGTGGAAACTATGGATCGTATGATGAGGTTTGGAGCGTGAAGGAGGCAGAGTGCCAGGCGCTGTGTGCAAAGTGGCTCGAGTGCGTCGCGATTGACTTTCAGCTATCGAGCGGGCCTTACACTCGCTGCAGGCTCCACAAGGAGGAAATCAGCCACGTCGTCCCGAATGGCCTCGATACCTGTCGCCTCCGGTGCGTACACACAGCGGCAGAGAATTCACGATTGCCCGCTACACATCTCCACGTCTGACGCATGTGTATACCGCACGTGTAGGCCCGGTCACGTCGCATCCTTTCGCGGCTTCACCAAGAGCAGCGGTGCGGCGATCCCCGCACCACCAATCCCACAGCCGCCGCCCGAGCCGTCGCCGCCGCCACTGCCACCCTTGCCGCCGCCGCCTCTCTCCCCGCCAGAACCGCAGCCTCCGCCGCCTCCGCCGCCCCGGCTGCCATCGCCGCCCTCCATTCCGCCGCCCGCTCCACCGGGCCCGCCGCCCTTGCCACCGCCGAATCCCTGCCTGCTCCACGTCGCCGGACCGGGCAGCAACCTGGCGGGGCCTTGCGCTGCAAGCGCCGGCGCAGGTCACCTGCGCCGAGCCAATTTCCGCGGGCTGGATCTCCAAGCCTCGGCCTTTGACGGCGTGGACCTGAGCGGAGCGACGCTGGACGGCGCTGACCTCTCCGTCGCGACGCTGACCGACGCGAAGCTGGCTGGCGCCTCCTTGCGGCGCGCGCGGCTCCGGAAGGCGAATCTGGCGAGGGCGGACCTCTCCGGCGCCGACCTGAGCGGGGCGGACTTGGCCGGCGCGGACCTGACGTCGGCGGTGCTGAGCGGCGCCTCCTTCCGCGGCGCGAGGCTGGTGGGCGCGGTCGTCAAGTTTGTGACGTCGGGCGAACGCTCTGTCTTCGACGGCGCAGACCTCCGCCGCGCCCAGGTCACGGACTGCAGCTTTCCCAACTCTTCGTGGGCGGGCGCCGACCTGCGCGCCGCCGCCATGGAGGACATGCGGCTGCACGGCGCTCTGGTCAGCGAGGCGCGCCTCGACTCGTCGTCGCGGCTGATCGACGTGCGCCTCCGCGACGCGACGATCCGTCACACGTCCTTCGCCGGCGTCAACCTGCAGGGGCCCTGCGACCTCTCCAACGCCTCGATGGTGAACGTCTCTTTTCGCGGCGCGAACATGCCCGAGGCGCGGCTGGCGCGCGCGGACGCGCGCGGCGTCGACTTCTCCGAGGCGCAGCTGGTGCTCGCCGACTTCAGCGGGGCGTCACTGCAGGGCGCCGTGTTCCGAGGAGCCGAGGTGACTGACGCGAGGTTCACGAGCGCCCAGCTGGACGCAACTGACTTTCGAGGCGCGCTGGGGAAGGACAAGGCCTCGTGGAAAGGCGCGAGCGGCCTCCCCTTCGGGGTGGACTTGCGCGTCGTCCAGAACCAGCCCGGCTGAAGAGGGGGGGGGGGGGGCCTAGCCGCCAAAAAACACAAGAAAGAAAGAAAACAGGCACTCCCAAGGGAGGGATGGGAGGACGGCACGCCGCCACCACACAGGGATTTTAAACGAGGCTGGCGCGTTTTCTTGTTTAGGGATTGACTCGGGCGATTCGTCGACTGGATCGAGGTCACAGGTTTGGCTTGCCACGAACTGCACGCACTGCGCCGATGCTCCTTCTCCTCTCCTCGGCCACCGGCGCGACGGCTGATACCCGGTGCGTCGACGAAGGCCCGTGGCCTTGCTCGGTCGACGGCTGTCCATCCGAGACCGTTGGCTGCTCGTCCCTCGCTGAGCTCGACCTCTGCTCGAGTCAGTTCGCCGAGATTTGGAACCCGCCGCCATTCGGCCTCTCGGGCACGGTCCATGGCCGCTGCCCTCGCGCCTGTGGCCGGTGCGGCGTCGATCCGCCCGCCGAGTGCAACATGGCGGTGATAGACGGCACGGCACTCGGCGAGGAGGCGCTGGCGGCGGCGCTCGTGGCGGCGGAGGAGCCGGTTGTGATCCGTCCTGTCCCTCACTCATGGGCGGCGCCTCCGCTGGAGCGCCTTGTGCGGGACCACGGTGAGTTGCCGCTGAGCGTGACGCTGAGCGGCGGCCGCTTCATCGGCGACGAAGCAGAGAGCGCGCCCTCCTCCCTCGGCCGGTACTCTCTCGAGCTGGCGAGCGGGCAGCTGCCGGCCGACGCGTACGTGTTCGACGAGCTGGGCGGCGTAGATCTCTCGTCCGGAGAGTTCGCGCTCGGAGGCACTGGACTCGTGCCCGCGTGCACCGCCGCCCCCGAACAGCCCTCTCGACTTTCCACCGAGCCTTCCTGCAGGCACGGGGGTCGCGCCCGCCGCCCGCGATCTCTCGGCGGACGTGCCGTCGCTCAGCTTCTTCAGGACGGTCCTTGCGCGCCACAGCGAGGAGCGGCCGAGCACTGCCGGCCGGCTCCTCCTCTCGGCGGGCGGCTGGGCGAACGGACGCCCCTTCCACGCGCATGGGCCGGCGCTCTTCGCGCTGCTCGGAGGCGCCAAGCGCTGGCTCGTGCGGCGGCCGAACGCCAGCTTCGCGTGGCAGTCGCTCGAGGCGCCGCGGGAGAGCCTGTCGGGCGCATCGCTGCCGGACGGCTGGGAGCCGCACGTGTGGCAGTGCACGCAGCGCGAGGGGGAGCTCCTGTGGGTACCGGACCAGCAGCACCACGCGACCCTCAACTACGCCGCGGACACAGTCGGCGTCACGATGGTCATTGACGAGACGGAGCCCTTCACGCCGCTGCACGCCGCTGCGCAGAGCGGAGCCGCGGCGGCGGTGGCGCGGCTCCTCCGAGACGGCGCAGAGGTGGACGCTGTGGCGGTGGCGAGCGGCGCGACGCCACTTCACTTCGCCGCCGGGCTCGGCCACTGCGACGCTCTCGAGGCCCTCTTCGGGAGGTGGTGGCGCCGCCGGGCTCGCGACGTGGGTGCGATGAGTGCGAGACGCGATTGCAATAGGCGCTGCTGGGTGGCGGCGCCACCGTCGACGCGGTGGCGAGCGGAGGCAACACGCCGCTCCACGTGGCGGCGGCCGGCGGGCACGCGCGCGCCGTGCGGATGCTGGTGCAGAGCGGGGCCGACCTTGAGGCGCGCGACGCGCACGGTCACACGGCTCACGGACTGGCGGTGAGGCTCGGGCAGGAGGAGGCTGCAGCGGTGCTGGAGCGGGCGGCGGTGTTGTAGTTGTAGTTGTAGAGCGGAAAAAAGGCTAAGCTCAGAAAAAAATGGAGATTGACTTTATTTATTTATTTATCGTACTTTACGGGGTGTGGAGCGAGGGTGGGAGTTAGCCAGGGGTTGTGCGCTGGGCCCTCTCCTGCTCGGCTCCAGCGAGTAGACAAGTGTTGTCATCAACAGAGTTAGAGGGTCCACAGCGTCCTAATCTAAAATCTGAGGATTCAGGATTGAGGCATCGATTCAGTGAGGCCAAAGTGAGTTTATGGATGTTGAGAACGGTACGGGACACGAGGAGTCACGCGGACCGACTCGTCGGTGACTCTGCTGCACGCCGTTTCAGAATTTTTCTCAGCGTGAGCGAGACGTGGAAGAGTGCCACCGTCGGGTAGGACGGGTCGGCCCGGAGTATCAGAGTAGCCGTCGTGGTCGCGGCGAGCAGCGCCGGCCACTCCGGCGCCGCGTCGGCAACATGGGAGCATGTCCACCGCCACTTCGCGGTCGCAGCGCTGTTTGTCGCCCGAAACGCCGCATGTACCTCTGGCGGGCCAAAGATCGACTCGCATGTCGATTTCGACTTGACGGCGGCATGGAGGCATCACGTCTCCATGCCGCCGTCAAGTTGGAGCCAGTCTGCGGCGATCACAGCGCTCGCAGGAGGTACATGCGAGCTATTCAGGTCAAGCTTAGCGCGAAATCCCACACTGGTGGATTTTGGGGCGCTGTGGACCCTCTAACAGAGTATAGATAAGGATCTCTGACCTCCAGGGCTGATGTACGGGGCTTCAACCAAGCGCTGGTAGCGTGTTTTTACCTCACACCCATGGTCTCACAGTGTGCCGGCAGTCGCCGAGCAGTGTCGCTCACACAAGCCGCAGCACAAGTGACTGAGGGCCAGTGAGGGCGAGCCCATCGCTGTGACAGCTGTGGCAGCCGCACACGGTAGGCTGTTTTTGAGAGAGACAGACATGACAGAGTCACACAGTACTACTACGCTACTACGGGGTGTGGAGGGTGAGAGTTGACCAGGGGTTGTGCGCTGGGCCCTCCCTGCTCGGCTCCAGCGAGTAGACAAGTGTTGTCATCAACAGAGTAGAAGGATCTGACCTCGGGGCCGATGTGACCAAGCGCTGGTAGCGTGGTTTTACCTCACACCCATGGTCTCACAGTGTGGCCGCAGCACAAGTGACTGAGGGCCAGTGAGGGCGAGCCCATCGCTGTCACAGCTGTGGCAGCCGCACACGGTAGGCTGTGCCATCTGTGCAGAGTGTGTGAGCAGCAGAGGAGCTGCTCTCCAGGCTTCAGGCGCAAAGAGCTGCCTGCATGCCACCGAAGGCGCTGTCGAGGTTCGCCGAGCGCGGCGCAGGTTGGGGGGCACCGTCACCGACGAGCGCGTTGGACTTTTCACTCCGGACAAAGACGGGTACAGGCACAGCGAGTACGAGCCGCGGTCGTGTGTAGTCGTGTAAAGCCGTACCCGTCGAGCGGCGACCGGCGAGGCGCGGGACCGTCTGTGGCGAAGTGGGTCGCGTCCTCCGATTTCCGTGTCAACTCAGCATCCACATCCTCTATACTGCACGTGACCGTACACAGAAGAGAGACCCTCTCCCTTTTCTCCCAGTAAGCTAAAAGTACGTACACAGAGAAGCGAGAGAGAGAGTCTCAGACACAGACTGGCCAGTCTCTCCCGCCGGCGCCTCTCTCGAACTCGTCGCCGGCCCGTGGTGTTCCTAGATCCTACCCTGTGTTTGGGGGGGGGTTCCTGAAATCGTGTACCACTAAAAAAACACGGTGCGTGGGGGTAGTGCAGGAGAGCGTCCGCCATGTGGCTCAATCTCTACACACGAATCCCAAATATGCTCGTGGCGTTTCATTGACAGAGCTGCGGATCTCTACGTGGCGCTGCTATTCGCCGGGAGCCCAGCTCGATTGCCTGCAGGTACTCATCGCCTGTCTCACTGCAAGACAAACTCGCCCTTCTCCTTCCACGTAGGACGCGGAGCTTGCAGCCGACTGGGCGGTGTTCGCCGCGTCTCAGCCCCGCGACAGCAGCCACCTTTGCTTTGCTCGTCACCAGAGGCGTGGGGAGGCTCGAGCAGTCGGTGAAGCGAGTCAGGTGCACGCGCGAGACGAGCAGGTGGTCGCGCGTGTGCGGGTTGCCGGAGCGCGGGTCGACCCACGTTTCGTAGTGAGGTTTGAGGAAAAACGTGTCGGGAGGGAGGCCAACTGTCAGAGGGGGGGGGGGGGGGGGAGTCAGCTTTGTGGCACTGTCGCAGCGGCACGCGCGGGCTGCAGAACGGCGCGATGAGGCTACGACCCAAGATGAGGCTACCGTCCCAAGATGGCTACGATGTAGCCAGCTCAGCCAAGAGGGCCCGCCTCGAACCTCGATCGAGGCGGGCGGTATGGCTGCGGTAGTGCGTCTCCAGCCATGTCTACTAAGGATGGCTGCCGTGTGTGTGTTGCAGCCATCGGGCTGGAGGATGTGGCTGCACTGCAGCTAGCTCAGCCATCCTTAGGTAAGATGGCTGTGAAGGAGACAACAAAAAACTGAAGGAGCCAGCACAGCCATTCTGGTGTCACATTCCGAGGTTAGCCGCAACGATCGCCCCCGCACACTCCTCTCCTTAAAATCCCTCTGTGGTTTTTTCTTTCTTTCCGCACGCCGACCCACCGCTGTCTCTGAGTGGGATCGCCGTCTTGGTCGCCCTGAACCCCCGCTGCGGCCGCTCGCATAATTCGTCCCTTCTTGTCCCTTTTGCCCCTCTTTGCACTTTGCTCCATCCTTCCCTTTTCCCTCGCCGCGTAAGCCGTAACTTGCTGCTGCTGCTGCTGTTACCTCCGGTCCACACGGGCACTCCCGTGCTAGGACAACAAGGCCCCACGGTACATACACACGGCGTCTCCAGACTCCACACTTAGGCGAGTCACACATGTGTCGTGATTGGGAAGGGATCAAAGCGCTGACTGAGAGTCATGTATGTATGTGTATGAGTATGTTGTAACTTGCGCCCTTTTGAAACTTTAACCAGCCTCCTTGCCGCCGCCCTCGCCGCCCTCGCCGCCACCCTGGCCCGCGGGCTCCACAGGCGAGTCGACCCGCTGGCGGAGCGGCAGGGCGCCCTCGCGGCGCACACCGCTGCCGTTGTACGCCTCGAGGCAGACCTTGCCGCAGAAGTACACGCCCTCGATTGGCATCCACACCTTCTCGCATATCACATGCGAGTGCACGGGCGCTTTGCATTGCGCGCAGCAGTGCCCGCCTCTTGGATCAACAAAGAGAGGCTGCGCGCATGCGGCACAAGGCTTCCACTGGCCGGTTGTTGTGTCTGACCTGAGAGTAGCTTCTGAGATTTTTCTATATACCAAAAAGAGAGAGGGCTACACGCTGCACCCCCCCCCTCCCCTTAGAGCCCAGAAGTGAACTCTGAGAGTTTGTTCCATTTAGTAGACTGAACTACTCAACACCCGAGCGTAACGAATGGGCTACCGCCCGGCCGCCTCAACAGAAGACTGTTTTTTTCTTTTACACTTGGATGTGAGGCTTCGACTGCACTCCAACCTCCAAGTGCTCCAAGTGCATCTTATGGCCCTGAGAACGCGCACCCCCCAGGGCTAGGGCTCTCTAGCCCGTAACCCGATGCCAATCATCCGGCCCGCTGGGTGCGCTTCTCAGCTCCCCGGCCCTGGATGTGAGAATGACTGCACTCCAAGTGCTCCAAGTACACTAGGCACGGATGGCGCGCACTGTCACTAACTAACGAGGGTAAAGAATTTTACCACCAAACTCCCTCGCACCAACACACTCACTATACTGGGCACGTACACATGTCACACCAAACACTACTCACTGGCAGGGGAAGACTGGCGCGCACTGCAGTCTGCACGGGAAAAGAATTTCAAAGCGACGAATGTCGGTGAGGCGAGATATGTGGCATGACAATATCGGCGCCTTCGTTCATCGCAAAACGAGAAGACCAAGCCCGACTACGACGGCCGTGGCGCCGACGACGCAAGACGCGAAAAGCAACTGTAGAATCCGCGGCACGCCCCTCCGGCCAGGCTCCTCCTCTTCCTCTGCTTGGCGTCGCTGGCGCCACCGCCTCGACTGCCTCTGCTTGTCGGCCATGTCAGCGAGGTAGGCACGGTACTCCCGCGGGAGGCGGCGCCTCTCCTCCGGCGACAGCGCCTCCCAAGCCTAACAAGGAGGGGACAAATCGAGAGAAGTGGCCGAGACGGCGAGGCGAGGGCAGCCGGGCATAGGTCCAGAACTTGGGGTCTGAGGGGGCAGGCGATCTCGGCTGCCTCGCGCCTCCTCCTCCTCGATTAGGTACGCGAGCGTGGAGAGGTGGGCGGAGAGGTGGCGGCGCCCATGCCGGCGCAGGGCCTGGAAGAGGCGCTTCGAGGGTAGAAGAGTGTCCAGGTCAAGCGCGGGCGGTTCGGTGTGTTCGTCGTCGTCACCGCCCTCCTCTTGGCGCTCGGCAGGGGAATGCATGTCAGAAACCACCGTCGACGACGCGGCCTTGCCCTGCGGCTCGACGAGCACACCACTGCTGCTGCGTCGCAGCGACTCGAGTTCCGCGAAGCGCTCAGCCCTCGCGTTTGCCGCCCAACACGCGTCCGACTCGGCGCTCCTGCTCCGCCACGCCTCCACAGCAGCCGGCGAGGCGCACTCGTCGCACAGGCACACGGCGCGGCGCTTGCCCGTCCTGCGGCAGCGGGTCGAGTCGAACCAAGGCTGGACGTGGTGGGACGTGGTGGGATCTGTGGAAAGGCACGAAGCAGAAGGCTGACGCCGTTCACAAACGCTACTAGGATGGACGTGAAACTGCGGTGAAAAGGAGGAAGGAAAGCGAAATTCGATTTTTCATGAACGTTAAAGATCTAGGAAGGATCAGCTCCGTCGAGCCGGAGGCTAATCCTCCCACCCAGAACCGCGCCCTAATTTTTGGCGCCCCTTCGTGCGGCTGCCCGCTCCCCGCTCCGTGTCAGGCTCCAAAAGACAAAAAAGAAATCCGACGGCCGAAATGTCTTCCAGCTCGAGGCCGCTGCTCGGCCTGCTGCTTGTCGCGTCGGCAGCGGGCCTGTCGCCGATAACCGCGAGGCCCGCGACGCCAGTGGTGCGACACGCTCCGGTCGTTGTCCTCGCAAAGAAGGGCGGCAAGGGTGCGGCGGGCGGCCGCGGCTTTGCAGCGGCTCCTGCGCCCGTGGCTGCGCCCTCGGCGCCGGACGCCGCAGGGCAGCCAGCGCCAGCGGCGCCGGCCCCGACGAGGGAGGAGCGGGTAGACAAAGTGCTCCGCGACGCCGGCATTGCGCCGACGAGCGCCGCCGCGCCGGGCGCCGCGCCACCTGACCTGCTTTCAGACCCGCTGGCGCGGATCCCCAAGCAGGGGCAGGAGCTGCTGGAGCGCTTCTTCGGCGGCGGCGCGATCCTCTTCGGCACCGTCTTCCTCGCCTCGGGCATAGCCGTCTCGGTCGAGGCCCTCTGCAAGGTGCGGCTGGGCCACGTCCGGGACACATCTGCAAACCGCCTGCGTCGGCTGCTGTCGACACTCTCGCGAACCGCCTGCCGACACGTCCGCGACATGCCTGAACACACGCTTCTCCACGGCTCGCCTCCTCCCTCCCGCAGGTGCTGGGCACGCCGCTCCCCGCGGCGGTCGACAGCCTGCTAGTCGATGTTGTGGAGCCGCTGCTCACGCCCTCGATCCTCATCCTGTTTGGTGAGGCCGTGGCCGAGAGACGCCTGAGAGACGTCGGCGAGAGAGACGTCGGCGAGAGACGTCGGCGAGAGATGTCGGCGAGAGATGTCGCCGCGATGCGACCGAGAGGGGGCCGAGAGGGGAACGGGGCGAGCCCTCCCCCTCGACCCTCCCGCCTGCCCCCCCTCAGGCTTCTCGATCTCGCTCGGGCTGCTCAAGCAGCTGCAGTTCTCGTCCGAGTCGGCGAGAGGTAGCCGAGAGTTGGCCGAGAGGTCGCCGGGGTTGGCCTTTGCTCCTCAGAGCTGGCAGGGCGTGCTCTAGCGAGGAGGACGGCACCTTGGGTGAACCTTCTCGGAAGCTTCCCGTAGGCGGGCGTGCTCTACCGCGAGGACGACGACTGACTCGCTTCCCGCTCGCTCCTCTCCCTCCTTCCCTCTGGTGGGCAAGCCCCTCGCGCTCCCTCGTGACGATCGCCTCTCCTGCTCTCCCCTCCCTAGCTCCCCTCCACGAGACGAGTCTGCGGCACTGCCTGGGGCTCCTCCGTTCGAGATTCGTTTTTCCCGGTCGGATTGAGCATTGACACACATGTGCTAGCAACTCCACGATTTGGCCGTCCACGGCCGACCGGCTCTCCCCACCAAAGCTGAGTCCTCTCTCTTTGTACATACATACAACATGCAAAGTATGTATATAGTGACCCGCCGATGGCATATACGGCGGGGCTGCGCGAGGTCTGTCTGCTCTCCCTGGACCCAGCCTGCACTTGAGGCATGCAGCTGGGAGAGGGGTGCGACAAACGCCTCCCGCCCTATCCACACCTGCTCTCGGCTATAGCAGGGCCAGCGCGAAAGCGACCCCAAACGGAGCGTGCGGCACAATAATCTTGGCAGCGGGGAAGGAGCGAGAGCATAGCCACGCGTGAGCGAAGGAGCACACGGCGCCGAGGTGGAAGATGGCGAGCACGGCGTTGCATATCTCGCCCGTCTCGGTGTGGATGAGCCCGCGCCACTGCACCAGGCCAGAGAGCGCCGCCAACGATAGGATTGACGCGGCGTGGTGCCGCACATACATAGCCGACTTTGCGGATCTCTCGCCAGGCGACTCATGCTGGTACCGGCCTCGCAGCTTAATCAGCCCGAGGCAGACCTCGAGGGCAGTGTGCGCCAGGTACACGACTGCCATTCTGTCCATGGCTAGGGAGCTGTCTGGTACGAGTATAGCCCCAGGCCGTGCCACTCCGTCGCACTGCCGGGCATCCTCTCCTGTGGGAGGGAAGAATTCTTGAAAGCAAGCCGCTCTCACAGCACACTGGCACGACAAGGGCGCGGACTGGCGCGGACTGGCACACACACCGGCTCACCACCGAAGTGCCCGTGCAGCACTTTGCGCAGCACTACAATGACATCAGCCAACGGCGTGGCGATGTCGCGCGCATCTACGCGGTGCGGGCACAAGACAAGGAGTTTGGCCTCTGCCACACGTTCGTACGAGCTTGGCCGCTTCTGTCCGTCCATGCTGCCGTCGGCGCAGCGCATCCCGCCTATTGGCGACCTCTTCACGCAGCAGAGCACCTCTCCAGTCCCGAAACAGGGCACGCTCGCTGCTGTCGGGGCCCATGAAGCGTGGATCGCGTGCCTGGCGGCGTGCGAGGAGGTCGACAAAAACACGCCGCAGTCGGAGGCGATCAAGTTCAGGGACGCAACTCGCTTCATCTCGATCTCCCAGTTCGGCGCTGCTAGATGGCTCGACATGCGCCCTGCCCAACTTGGTGGCCATGACCGATCTCGAGGCAGCGACGGCAGGAGCCACGCACCTCGTGGTGGCCATCCCGTCCCAATTCCTCCAGGCCACGCTGCCGCGTGTGCGCAAGCACATTCGAGCCGATGCGTCGGTGCTGAGCGTTGTCAAGTCGTTGCACTACGAGGACGCACGCAATCGGCTCAGCCTTCCGTCGAGCGAGATCTTGCAACTGCTTGGAGGCACGCACGAAGTCTGCGCCCTCTGCGGTCCCAACATTTACCACGAGATGACGAGCGACGCCTCGTTCGCGGAGGCCACGATTGGCTGTGCGGACAGCGTGAGCGGCCGTGTCGCGGCCGCGCAGTGGCACGCGCTTCTCATGGCCGATTACTTCGCGACGCCCGACGCGGTGCATCGCCGATCGGAGCGGCGTGGAAGCAGCCGGCGCGCTCAAGAACGTGATAGCCCTCGGCACTGGCTTTGGGACTGGGTGCGGTCACGGCGCCAACGTGTGCGCCGCCATCATGCGTGTGGGCCTGGGCGAAATGGAGCGGTTCGCGCGGCGCTTCCTCGGCGCAGCGGACGCGCGCACCTTCTACGAGGAGGCCTGCGGCGTGGGCGACCTCGTGCTCACGTGCACCACCGGCCGCGGCCACCAGCTTGCCGCGGCCTTCGTGCGCGGCGACGAGCACACGCGCGACGTGCAGACACCCCACGCGCGTTGGGCGGCCCTAGAGGCGAAGCTGTTTCCAGGGATGTGCCTGCCCGACTGGCACTCGGCCAAGGCGCTGAAGGCCTTCCTCGCGGCCCACTGCGCCGAGCACGCCTTCCCGCTCCTGTGCGCCATCGGGCGCATCAGCCACGGTCGCGAGCCCGCGGCGCACATCGTGGGGGTCGACTCGTGCGTGAAGCGGTGCGAGGGGACGGCGCGACGCCCGCGGGGTCCCGGACGCTGCGGGAGACGCTGCCGGCTGCGCCGGCTGTACCTGACGACCCGGCTCGCAGACCGACGCGCCGGCATCGTTGGCTGCTGTGGCCGCTGCTCGCCGCGGTCGTGGCAGCGCTGCCGCTCCTCCCGGTGGAGGTATGGCTGCCGCACATGGACCTGCCTTCCGACGACCTCTCGAGCACGGCGGATCCGCTCCCGCCCTTGAGCCCGGCCGACGTGCCGTCCTTCCTGAACGCCACCTGCCTCAACAGCGAGCGCCGGTTCCCACTCGTGGTGAAGCCGGCCGACCGTGTCCGAGTGGGTTGAGCGGAACCGCGACATCGTGACGGGCTGGCTCGAGGCCTATGGGGCCGTGCTGATGCGCGGGTTCGCCGTCGAGGAGGCGGCGCAGTTCGAGCGGTTCGCGATGGCGTACACGGACCGGCTGGACAACATCTACCTAGGCACCTCCCCTCGCGAGTCCGTCAACAACTTTGTCTTCACCGCGAGAGCAGCCTGCCGTCGAGCAGCGCGCCGCGCAAGCCCGCCGCCGTCGACCCGATCGAGAGCTCGTAGTCATGGTAGCATTCAGCGCGCCATCTCGCCCGAGACGGCCCGCCCTGGCCCTGTCGGCCTTCCCAGACAGCTTGTCGAGGCTGTACAGAGTGCCGAGAGCATGCTGGGCAGGCTCCCGTCGAGCGACGAGCCATGCTGGCTCGTCGCGGGCCGCGAGCTCGAAGACCCGCGCGGAGCGTCGCCGAGCCTGGCGTGCCCGCCCGCACGCCCGCGGCCGCAGGCAAGGAAGGCGAGCTTCCTAGCGTCTATGCCAAGCGCTCACATGCCAAAAGACACCTCGCAGCGCGCGTGACGTGACCGAAGCGGCACGCCTCGGCGCCGCGAGAGCAGCCGGTCGACGTCGGCACCAAGCGGCCGCCGGGCGCCTCCGAACCGACAGGGGCGCCGCGGCACCGGCAGTAGAGAGCACTCCACCCGCCATACCGTTGATTGAGGCGCCGTATCGACAGGTGTATTCTTTTTTTGCTGTGAGAGAGAGTTGTTTTGTTTAAATTCTTTTTTTGCTTGGGCGGCCCTCGTCTGGGGGGGCGACCCCCCCATCTTTGTTTACCGAATGCGTCTCTGGATTAGAGTGCGTCTAGTAGGCCTCCTACTTAGACGCTCGCTGTCCTCGGTATGCTCGAGCATCCTAAGATGCGCGAGTCCTATATTAGTTGCTCCGCGCATCCCGAATTGCTCGCGGCATCTCCGATTGGCGTTGCTGTCTCAAAAGACGCGCCGTGCATACTGTGAACAGCGCGTGTCTCAGAAGACGCGCGCATATTTTGAACAGCGTGTGGATCTCAAGAAATACACGCACGTATAAAAACAAAAAAGAAAACGAAAATCGGTGTGGCGAGCGCTGCGCGGCGGGCCGTGCCCCCGGCTGTGCGCCGCGGCTGCTGCGCTACTACTCGCACAGCCGCGGCGCGCCCACCCGAGCACTCGTGGGTGGGCGCCCTATAGCCTCTCCGCGCAACGTGCTGGGGCACGGACAGCGGCTCTCACGTGTGGCAGCGGCAGCAGGCCCACCGCTGCACCGACTCACACTGAACAGCACGCACAGGACACAGTCACAGAACACTGCCCCTGACGCCACTCACGGCCACGGGCTACTCAGACTTGGACACAGGCACCTCGCTTAGCACTCCGTGCACGTGGCTGCCGGTTGCCGTCACCAGCGCCGCTTCCTGCCCAGATCAAACACCTGCGACGTGGCGGAGGCGATGAGCGGCCCGCGGTCGCCGTGAGAGCGCGCGTGGTGGGCGACGGCTCACCGATCGAGCGGAAGCGGTCACGCTGTGGGGGCGGCGGAAGCGGTCACGCTGTGGGGGCGGCGGCGAGGCGGGCAAGCCACCCGCAGATCCCCAGAAGGACGCCGTCGCGAGGTCGAGGGCGGGCGGCGGGGGCGGCGAGAGCGAGGCGCGAGGCGCGAGGCGGTGTTGGCGGCGGCGGTGGCGCGGGCGGCGGCGGTCACGGAGCGGGGGCGAGAGGGTGGTGGCGAGCAAGACACCCGTGCGCGCTGCGCGGTCGCCGTTCTGACTCACATGCCTGCGGACAGCGCCGACGGGTGGTGAGGAGGGCGGCGAGCCGGCGGGCACGGTGTGCGCGCGGTCGCCGCGCGCTGGTGGGCGACAGCTCACCGAGCGAGGAGCGAGGAGCAGGAGCTGGAGCTGGAGCGAGTCGGGATGCCCGGTCCCTCAAATCGCCAAGTCAAACAAGAAAAACCCCGCCCCTGGCCGACTCTCGGAAGTACGCTGTCTTCCGTGTCTAGGCGCACGCCCACGCCCTCAGCCTCGAACTGGCCCCGCTACCTGCCGCGCAAACTGGTTGGTGGGGGGGGGAGGCGGCGTCGCCGTCGGATCGTCGTAAGCAGTGCATGCAACTTTGGTCTTTGCGCCCAGAGCTCGTGGCGCGAGCAGATGCATGCGCGGTGCTGAGAACCTGGTTCTCCAGGAGGGGCAGGCCGCGAGGAGAGACCTCACACGAGCACTCAAGGCAGGGCCCCCAGGGGGTGCCGAGAGATCACACCGCCTTTTCGTGCTCCCTGGCTCCCTGCTCCCCCCTCGGTGCCCGGTGCACCCGACACACGGTGTCTCCTGAGACGCTTCCCTGTCCAAGTATAGTAAAATGTGATCTAGTATGCAAGTGCCATCTCAGAACAGCTGTGCATCTATAGATGCTTGTGGCGTCTAAGATGGAACGCGTAACAAAAGACACGGCGCGGCTATCTCCAGGACAGCCATCGCATCCTAGAATGCCCTGTGTACCCGAGACACATGGTATCTTTGAGATGAAAAGTGCGTCCTAGAATGCGTTTTTGCATTCTAGGACGCATCGGTAAACAAAGATGGGGGGGTCGCCCCCCCAGACGCCTCATCATGAAATTCTGCAAAAACCTGACCGGCCCCTGCGGTGCCCCTACCTACCTACCTACCTACCTACCCTACTTATGGGAAACTAAAAAAGAAATCACGCGATGTGTGAACGTGGTACTATACCAACTAAAGTGATGGGTGGTGGTACTCTCCTGCAACCACAGTCCTTCCTGTGACATGGCAGGCCACTCTCAGGCCCTACATGCTACAAGCATCAGATCACCCATTTGGGGACGTTTGACATCGTGATTTTCCCGGAAATTTTCTTTTTCTGCCGTGAAAATTCCAGCGTGAAGAGAGGGGAAAACCCGACGGGAGGGCCCAGACCTACCCTACCTACCCCGTGATGAGGGCCGCCCAAGCAAAAAAAGAATACACCTGGTATCGAATCTAAATAATGTGTATTTCACAGACCTTGCAAACTAGAGTTGTTTGGTATTGCTAAAAATCTCTCTCAGACCTTGTTATTGACAAGAAAATACTTTCCTTTGCGCTGGTCTATGAGAGGTTGAGGTGCGAGCCCTGGAGGCCCTGGGGATGGGGGGAGACTACCCGCGGGCCTAGAAGGCCCGCGCGCAGGTTCACAGCCTTGTTATTGAGAAGAAAATACCTCTTACAACTGGGTATGGCCTGTGTTCACACCGAGCAGCGAGGAGCAGACAGACAAAATAACCTCCAACTCCCTCAGTCTCTAGGACTCCCCTCTCAATGACCACCTCTATGCACATTCGAGGTGGCCTTATCTTATGGAGGGAAGTGCTAGAATCATCATCCAGGAGGGAGGGGCCCCCCCGCCCGACCCGCGGATACTCCCTCTCGCGCCGGTTCGGCACGCGGGAGATTGCCACGTGGACGGAGGGGTTATTTTGCGAGGTGGAGGCCGACCTCTCAAGCAAGCTCGAGAGGCTTCGGATACCGGGGCTATCAGGAATGATCTATTACGCCCTTTCTCCTCAACGGCTATCCCTGCTTCCCTACAGGGATTTCTTTTGCAGGTGCTGCGCCCTGCGTGGGGACGGAGAGCCTTTTTCTATAATTTCTTTCTTGGTGAAGGAGACGGTTCTGCGCCCGCCCTCAGTGTCGGTTCTGCGCCCGACTTTTTTTTTAGGAAGTTAATTACTCCGTCATGGATCTCGAGGTATCCAGTGCGGCAAGTCGAGGACACCGATGTCAGAGTGTATCGCTGAGTCGTTTTAGGCTTATCGGGTTACGTATCGTTGTTTTGGGCTTCCACCCTTTTGAGATGGAATGGCGCTCCATTTGAGTGTGGAGCTGGGTTCCGGTACCCAAGGGGTAGGGTAATGTGCTCAGTGGTGTATGAGAGTGGTCGCAAAAAATGAGAATTTTGAAGCCCCTTTCGGGGGATGGTGCGCCGCAACGGCGGGCTTGGGTCTAATAACTAGGTGGGCTGGGGACATGGGGCCCTCAGAAGGGTAGGGGTGGACTGTGCATGAAGGAGGATCAGACATGTACGCGTATACAGG